ATTCTATAATATTCAAAAACATAATATTCCTATACTTGTAAATAATTTGCATTGAAAATAAAAATATGATAAATAAAAGTGGATATTAAGTTTTTAATAACCTTAAATTTTTAATAACAGCAATTCGTATATGTTGAAAGCATAAATATTTCAGCAATTGAGCAATCCCTTTTTGTTTCTAATATCTTACTTGACAATCACTAATTAACAGTCAGTATTTTTATTGTTAAGCGTCTCATATTGATTAAGAGATTGAGTTGTTGTCTCTTTATATGATTCTCGAGTAATCATAACCCATAAGCTAACTTTTGGGATTAAATAAGGTTCAAGATCAGTTTTCTTAACATGTATCAGAGTCAGACTCATCTTTATTTTTGGTTTACCCGGTGTTAAGCCATATGTTATATTATCCATACATATCAGATGTCCAATCCTAGGCGTGCAAGGACAATATCGAGCTTCTTTCGATATACACATCTACTTGATGGATTATTTAGGTGTTTTTGGTCAACATGACCCTTGACACCCCCCCCCCCCCACCCTCCCACCCCACCCTCACCCCAAAAAAAAGAAAAGACTCAGTCCAGGGAACAAATTCTGCAGTATATTTTTTTAAGATAAAATTAATCAAATAGATTAAAATAAAAAATTGCAAGAAACTTTAGTGAAGAAACCTTCGACCTCGAATTCATCTTTTATTTTAGTTCTTGTATAGTTCCTCGAAACCATGCATGTTTACTAGTGTATTTAATAATGCTTCTATTTGTTAATTATTAATTATTAATTATTAATTCCTTTACTTATTCAAGTAACGATATCAAAACGCGTAGATATATGTCATATGTGATATGACTAAAAACACAATTGGAATCCTCTTTTTTTTCCTTCTATAAATACATCATTTATCTACTCTCTCAAACATAAAATAGAATTGTCTTGATTCCAAAGATAAGCCAAGAATCCATTATTCTCTCGTCTCTCATTTTCACACACTCACATAGTGATTACCATCTATATACCACAAAGGCTTTTGTGGTTTTATTGGCGCATATCACGGTATAGTAAAAACTCCTTAACTCCCCATTTTAGTGCGCCTTACTATTCTTTCAAAAAAAACTCCTGTAGTTACGTCTTTCAGTACTGAAACTCCAGTCAAGTAGTTGAAACAAGCTACTCTCCTTACAGAAAAACACCTGAAGTTACGTCTTTCAGAATTGAGACTTCAGTCGAGTAGTTAAGATAAGCTACTTTCCTTACAGAAAAACTCCTGAAGTTACGTCTTTCAGTACTGAGACTCCCCGCTTTAGGCTCTTTGAGAATGAAGATTGAAGGGGAGAAGATTAAGAAATATGCTTTGTTATTAGCTGCAAAGGATTCAGATTATGTGAAGAAAGTATATGGAGGATATTTTAATGTATTTTTGGAAGCTTTAGGTGAAGAAGGAGAGAAATGGGATTTATTTAGAGTAGTTGAAGGTGAATTTCCAGATATGGCTGAGCTTCAAAATTATGAAGGATTTGTAGTTAGTGGAAGTCCTTTTGATGCCTATGGAAATGAGCATTGGATTCTTAAGCTTTGCATTCTCTTACAAACTTTGTTTTTTATGCAAAAGAAAGTTCTTGGCATTTGCTTTGGCCACCAGGTATGTCAAAAGAGTGTAACTACTACTATACACACTGACGGCGTAAAAATAGTATAAGTAAAGTTTAACGATATCAAGTCGCTTAAAAGATAACTGCATGTAACCATTTATAATAAGTGTGATTAGTAATTTGAAAAATAAGACAGGTAACCTACTGATACAATAAGCTAAAATTCATTACCAAGATAAAATCTTTTTACATAGTGAGTGTATTAAATCCATGTAAAAAATAGCAAAAAGTCCTTCTCCAACACATTGGAAATGAATAGTGATAATATTTTCTAGGAATAAATAAAATCATCCAACAAGTTGGGTAAAGTACAAATACCAAAGTGCAAAGGACCACATTGCACTTGCTAAAGTACTTGCATCTCTCAACACAAAAAAAGGTATGCTTTTTTGGGGTTTTCACTCGATATTCGGTACGTGAATTGGGCGCGACTAAATTTTGATTCGCGCTGAAAAGTCTTACATTATGGGGCCAAGCGCTCCTTAATAGAAGCAATTTAATAAAAAGTACTTGTATGTTGCTCTATAAGGAAGACTTTTGCTTTTGACCAAATTAAGAGAGAATTTTGGATATCTAATAACATGTATACTCAATTTTCATATTTATAGGTTCTATGTAGAGCTTTGGGAGGAAAAGTTGGAAAGGCTTGCAATGGTTGGGATATTGGACTAAGGAAATTAAGCATTGTGAAGAACTTCTCTACACATAGCTTCCTTAGTGATTTGGAGGAAATCCCACCTACACTTTCAATCATTGAGTGTCACCAAGATGAGGTATATATCTCTTTATTTCTATTGTGAAATCATATTTGCTCTAGGGTTCTAGCCTATTGCCGGAGCAGGATCAGTTTCACGTACGATCACTGAACTTTACCTACTGTAATAATTAAGTCAAAACTATTTTTGTTACGATAATATAACGATTGAACTAAGTGTGAATTGCTCGAAAATACAAATGACCAGAAGGTCAAATTTCTAATATCGCGTTATGACACGTTGCTTGCCACGTTTCTTTAATTTATTATGAATAGGTGTGGGAGGTGCCAAAGGGAGCAGAAATAGTAGCAGTTTCAGAAAAGACTAATGTGGAAATGTTCACAATGGGAGATCATATATTAGGCATTCAAGGCCACCCTGAATATACCAAAGATATACTCTTTAATCTCATTGATCGTCTCCTTTCCAATGGTTGCATTGAGGTAAATTAAATTAATTAGAATAATTTTTTTTAACTATATATCTTTTATTTCATGGTTTTGTTACTATTTCATGTTTTCTCTTTCTCATCAATTTTGTATTTTTTTTCTTTATATATACAGAGTGGATTTGCAGAAGATGCAAAATCTAAGCTTTATAAAGCTGAGCCAGATAGGAAATGTTTGGAAAGGATTTGCAAAAAATTCCTCAAAAGAGAGTTGGAATTTATCAATATTCCTGGCAAAATATGATCTTCAGAGCTCGAGTTCTCTTGCTTTTATGTTTATGTATCGACTATTCTCATGTTATGATCGAAATAACCAGGTGTAATACTCAATATCCAAATATTCACTTCTCAAACAATGGATACCACAAATATGTCTCTCTTGGATGAATATGTTCTCTCCTTTATAAATAGGTATTAATGGGAATAATAGTAGTCATATTTTAATTAGCACGTTTTGTTTTATTTCTCTTGATGGAGAGGTAGCGTTATATATCATGCAGAGGCGGATTCATGATTTGAAGTTTATTGGTTTCTTATAACAATCTTTAGTTAATATGCAATAATAGTTGTGTTAACAGTCAAATATTTATAAATATTTAATAAAATTCTTAATACATATACAGGTTTTGAGTTCATGCATAAGTAATAATACGTAAGAAAAGAAAAGGTATAGTTTAATTTATTGTATGAATTGGTCAAAATTTGCAGCTCAAATTTCCCAGAAATTCCATTTGTTTCAACATACTGAAAATTGACGAACTGTTCTAAGAAGACTTGAGAGGATTTGACTTTAATGAAATTCCTTGACTGTCATCTTTCTTAGTATATCACTAAAATTTGACTTTCTTTCTTTTCTCCATTACTTTCCCTTTCTATATATAGTTCGAAACACTAGTGCCAAAAGTGGGAATGGTCTCTTTAAAATAATATAAGAGAAATTTTGTCGGACTTATTTTAAGGGCAGTCTGGTGCACTAAAGCTTCTGCTATGTGCGAAGTTCGGAAAAAGACCGAATCACAAGGATCGATTGTACACGGCCTTACTCTGCATTTCTGCAAGAGGCTGTTTACACGGCCCAAACCCCTGACCTCCTGGTCACATGGTAGCAACTTTATCAGTTACGCCAATGTTCTCCTTCTTTGTCAGACTTATTCCAATGTGGTTAATTACACAAAAGCTCCTATAGTATAATATGACTCAGTTTCATATGCACTCTCTAATTTTCTAAATGAAACACTACACCCCTATACTATGGAAATCTTATACTTTCTCCCTAGATGAGGTATATATGTAACTACATATATTAAAATATAATGATTAAAAGATAAATTAAAATTACAAATAAAAAGATTTAACATATTTATTTTTCAAAAATTTAAAAAGAAGATAAATATTCTTGTTGAAATTTTTTATTCATGCTTTCTATTAAAAAAGAGAATAAATATTGTTTTAAAACATGTATCTTTCGAAACTCATAAATACGAAATGACCACAAATCATACTATTTTTATCGAAACATGTTAGTTTCATGACCAATTTGCCATGGGATCACATCAAAGGTTAAGTCCAGAAAGATCAAGATGAAAAGAAGCTTTTAATAGAAGAGATTGAAATTTTATCAATCACAGAACTCAACAAAATCGCGAAATTAAATTTCAAGCTGAAAGAAGGAGGTATCAAGGATATTAACTTCGTCGAGGAGGAGGAGGAGGAGGAAGAAGAAGAAGAAGGTGATCATCAACGCGTGTTTTATCTTCCTAAAATCACTTTGAATGCTAATTTTGAAGTTATATTGAGAAACTTAGTAGCATATGAGCAAAGGTCGATGTCGCCTATTGTCAACGAGTTCATCTGAACCCAAAACATTCAATATAGAGTAGAGAAACATATGTAAAAACCTACTAAAATCTTAAGAAATGTTAGATCTGAATGCATAATTTTAGCAATACAATGAATTCAATGCAAGATTGAACCCATTAAGTTTAAATTCTAGATCCGCCTCTGTATATGAGGCCGTTGCTGCAGGCCGAGACGCCACACTTGAACAGGCTGAGTACGTATGTGGAGTTGATGTGTGGAATTGGGGACACTCCAAAAGATGTGGAGTTACTCAAGATATCAAGAGATTATAAAAGGAAGTATCAGTAATGAGAAAATTGCTGATCTTTTTAGGCATCACTAAGCTACAATGTACATGAAAGAGCTAAAAACTACTAGATAAATAAACTAATGTTGCCATTACAAAAATGGACAAGATTGATTCGAGATTGTTGTACAATACAATTCTAATAAGAATGGTCAAGTATGTATAATCAAAAGAATTGCATATTTTTGCATATTGTGAATGTGTAATCTTTTACCAGTCCTAGAATCAAACAATACTCCATTGGGAATTTGAGGAAGATTTGCGCTTAGTGGTCAATGAGCTGGAAGAGAATCATAGTCGTAGGTTCAAATCCAAGTATAGACAAAAAACACTAGGTAATTTCTTCCCATTAGCGAGGCGCATGCAAGCTGGCCCCGACAACATCGTCATTAAAAAGGGACAGAGTATGGAATTGGGAAACAAAAAAAGACTTTGGAGAGAAAGAAAACGACCAAAAGAAAGCGAAAATGGGCTTTTTCTTCTTTCTCTCTCATTTTGTGGTTTTAGTTTTCATGTACAGTTCCAATTCCATTTTGTTTGTTCAGTGCATAAAACAATGAGAATAAGGACCAAGAAGATGTTCATAAGAAAGAAATAGGGAGTCAAATCTCTTGAGATATTTCACCAAAAATATCTGGACATGATTCCCATTTACCAGTTTCTCTAGCTTCCCAATATCCTCCTTTATATTGATATGTATCACTACCTTTTGGTTTTGCAAACCACCTTGGTTTCCAGCCTCTTTCCTGCATCTTTGTTGCCTGCATACACAAAATCTTGATTACCATCTCAATACTACAACAACAACAACGACGCTTCAATCCTAAGAAAGTTGGGGTCGGCTATATGAATAATCCATTTATTTAGGCTCATCCGGTCCAATATTGTATAAAACAATTTTTTTAAAATAAAAAAAAAAAACAAGAAACTCTGGGGAAAAGGAAAAAGTACCTCTAGCACAAAGATTTCTCAATATTTTCTACTACTAGCAAAAATTGGATTGATACTAAACATACTATCATGACTAAAGCTTAACCCCAACTAATACATATCGTCTGTGTAGATCTTTTCTTCTTTTATGCCCTATTTTTCACTAGGTCTGATTACTATCTCAGTATTCCAACAACAAGAAACAGTAATTGCCTAAAGATTTAGAGATACAAACATGCATTATTATACAGAATAGGGAAAAATTGTAACGCAAATGATGATGTTCGTTAGTAAACTAATTTTTGAGTAAAAGATGCTTTTCTGACTTAGATGTGAGGCAAACATATAAAAGGAATGATCCTAGTTCAAGAGTTAGTAAGTTCCTCCAAGTTTGATATTGTACATCCATAGAATATTAAGTGAGTAAATTCTAATTCAGTTGGATGCCTCATAAATATAACCAGGTTTTAAGCATGCTAATTACCTTGTTACCATTATAAATCAAGATAATACTCATATTAAACGCTAAACTGGTAATTACAACTGATATCTGACAAGACCCAAAGCCTAAACATGCTTATTAGAATGTTAATATTGAAGAAAATAACTATTTGTATCACCTCACGTTGCCTCTGTTCTAACCGCAACTTTTCTGAATCAGCCATGTCATATTCTCCATTTTCAAGAAACCTTTGATCAGGTCTCAGCCTTGAATCTGTTGGTGGCAATTTTTGCTGTTTGCAGAGACAAAAGTACAGATATTAGAATACATTTGAAAGATATGGATGTCCAGGACGCAAAAAATGACTATATATTATAATATTCCCTTACCTTAAGCTCAGGGGAGATCTCATTCAGGGTGATCGCAAAACGCGTAAAGTTGTACTTTGTTTGGTAATTTGATGGTTTGCTCCGCTTCCAAAGCAAATGTGACTTCGATTCAGAATCTTGCCCTATATCTTCTGACAAACTATCGCCCATGGAGTAATGCAAACTCTCATCCCATTTTCCAGATATTGTTGCCGCTCTTTTTCCACTCTTGTCATGTATGACTCCATGTACCTGCAAAAACAGTTTGATATGTGATGATTAATGGAGCCTTAACCATCCTTTTTTGAACAACATAATCCATTTGAGAGCAACTAACGAGCTCAATTTTTCCAATAGACTATCCGCACATTACATTTCAAATCATGGCAATAATATGTCCTCTAAGAGCCGGAGGTAAAACTTAAATTCTCCATTCATTCACAAATATAAACATTCCCTAATTATAACCTTCAGATATCGCTGTCCTGAAGAAGATCACTGGAGCACTTATTGAATTGAGTGCAATAGTGTGGGAAGAACACAAGCACTAATAAAGTGGAGATGCTGCACCTGGTGAGGATTCCTTTCCACAATAGACTGCTCCTTAAATTTTAGCTTGCAGGAGTAATCTCGATTCCCTCGTATATACATCGTACCATAATGGTCACAATAGAGTTTTCCTATAATGATGTTGTAGATGGAAGTCGTAACCTGATATAATTCAGTTTAACAGTTCAGCAAGCGTGACAAAAGGAGTTGCAGTCTTTTCAGTATAATGCACATACCTTGTTCCACTGAAAAACTTCACCATCATCGAACTCCAAGGTAAGGACACCAACAGGGTCAAGTTGAATTGATCGACCCCAGAATTTACTTTTTAAATTCGTATCTCCCCAAAATTTCCAACCTCGACCAGCACAGTGGCATGCAAGAATCATGGGGTGATGACTAACCTATATCAACAGAAAAATACTTTATAACACATCAGAAAAGGAAAAAATGCCAATCTATTCCCTTGTGCCATTAATTTCATCAAAATGATTAACTGATAGCCGCAAAAGGGAAATAAACAAACGTTTATATTGCTAATTCATGTAATAATGAACATTGATATTTGAGAATGGTATAAAAATAATAGTTCTATTTGCCTTGTACTCTTACCAAATATGAATAAAATATGGACTTGTCAGAAAAAATTTCCATTTTATTCCTCTTTTCTTCCTCTAATTCTTTGGCTCTTCTAATTTCCGATCATACTCTTTGCTTCAACTCTAGTCCTATCTTTTGCCTTATATGCACACCTCAGCTTTGACATATCTGTTAGACACTACCTCAAAATGATATAAAAAGCAAAATGCCAAAGGTGCCGCTGGAGGCAAAAATGAGGAGAAAAATTACAGACAAACTTGGGAAGAAATTTTTTTTAATCCTCGGAAAACTATCAGGAATTGAATGCTACAATTTGATAGTAAAATGAAATATATAAATACTTCAGCTAACATTCAGAAGATGATGTTTGCATCAAGAAAAGACATCCTTTTAGCCCGTTGCATGTTTCTACATGTGTATAGTAAGTCCATATTTGGAGAATATAAGCAAAAGACAATGATCTCTGTAAGTAAAAGGGGACCATTTAAAACCAGCTACTTTTAAGAGTACCTTTTCTGAGATGAAACGTACTCCCTTGTCTGGGTAATCAGCTTCATATGTCTCTCCTAGTAACGGATTAAATGGCTTGTAAATTCTTCCATCGGTCGAAGCATATCCAGATGCAGCAAATGCAGCAACGCTAAGAATCCTCATAATGCTATTTCCCTACAAAGTTTTGCTAACAAAAGTGGTTACATTTTCATATTGGAAAAGATGGCAAACTATGACATGCATCACAGGTGACAGAGACTCGAAAAGAAAAAAGTATTTACAGCCACAGAGTACTGCCTAATTAATTATCCTCTGATTACGAGTTAATAGGTTCCCGATTTCCAATCTAATGATTGGAAAATAGAAAAGTACTTTAAGAGAAAAAGTGTCAAATACCTTTTATCTTTCTACTAATTGCAGGCATCAGCGAGTATACTTTTCCACATGTTCAATTTTAAATTTACAAAAGATGAATACTTTTTGTTAATATTGTCATCTATCACTAAGCATTCCGATTCTTCCTAAATAAAGCACAGCAATAGAAAGGCTAGAATGAGAGGATATAAGCGATCATTCCGAATATGCCAACTGAAATATGGGGATCCTCAAACTAAGGGGAAAAGAAGACAACTCAATTAAATTTCATAAATTACAAGTTTCCCAACATTTTATTAATCCTTTGAGCTGCAAGCATTAGGTTGGATGAATTTTTAACGGGATACTGCCAAATATAACAAGGAATATATGATGTATAATAAATGCATAGAAACAACGAAGAAAGATAAACATAGAGATAAAAATCGCACAAAATGATTACCGTTTTTCCCCATGCATAAGCTTGGTCAAGAAGGTAAGAGTATTCAAAATCTTCAAAACATCTCTGCAAAGACGAGAGTGGCTCATTGAAGAACACTGGTAGACAAACTTTAGTTAGATCCTTGCCGATGTTATCTTTGATCATTGACCAAAGGCTTACTCCCTTTTCCTTCTGAAATGGTTCTGGCAATTTCTTTCTCCGCTTAACATAAGGATAGTCAGATGTGGCAAATCTAGTACCAGAACTAAGACCATCCTCAGAAGGCTGAAACTCTATGACCGCAGAATCAAATGATGATCTTCCATCATCAGAATCTGTGCTTCTTGTGGAACTCGAAGAAAGAAAATCTTTAGCATCAAAAAATAAGTTATCAGCATCTACATCATCATCACTTTCCTCCTCTTCGTTGTCTGATCCACTTACACTTCCTCCTAGAAATACTACCAGAAGAAAGAAATTTAGTAAGTAAAATTTCTCCAAATGATAAGAGATACAAATTGAAAAATACAATTAGTGAAGTTCAAACAGTTGCACTGCAGCAATGAGAAAAGACGTCTAACTATGCATACCTCGGAATTTATCCAGGGATACTTCAGAAGAAGTTTGACAATCTTTTGCTTGTCTGTGACCCTCATCAATGAGAGTGTTCTCGAGGTCGACTTTTTCTGTCTGTGGGTGGGCAGAATAAGAGCAGTTTTAGTGTATCATAAAGCACATGAGTCTCATATGTGACTCTGAGGTTCAACTAAGCAGAATTCAACAAACAAACTGTAAGTCTCTCAACTACAACCTAAATTCAATATCATAAGAAGTCGTAATGGCTTTCAGATTGACACCAACGTCGGGATTCAGCAAGTAAATCAAATAAAAAAATAAGTTCAACTGGCATTACTGAAAACATAGAAGCAGAACCATTTTGGGTAGTAAAGAGAGAAGATATGCGCTCGTATTGCTTATCTGAGATCTGATGCTTAGTAATTCCAGTAGTACGTCAAATGCATAGAAACCTTTCTTTACCTAAATTCAGTAGTAGTACACACCAAAAGCAGACATTATTCAGCCGAAACTCTCGTAAGTCATAAAAATGCTGATACGTTCCAAATAACTTCTTAATCATGATTTTTCATTTTATTAGACAGAGAAAAGCATTTCCATTTTGCTGAAGAGAAAGAAGCAAATCTGGCACCTGATGATTTCTCATGCAATACAACGACATATTCGGACAAGCTTTAAATTGTTAGTAACTTTTAGTCCATTATAGAAGGATGTTACTCCTGCCTTGGCAAATAAAAAGTCATACACTTTCCACTTCCTCTCCTCTCCTTCAGCTGGTTTCTCATTTTTCCTCTGTCTAACTTTTCCAGCCACTACAATATATTTCATTTTAAAGTCAAGATTCACTCCTGTCTTCCCGTTCTGTTCTAATTTTTCCCCTAATTATGACCCCGAAAAATAGAAGATATATCTACACTATGCAATTTTCTTCTTTCTATTCCGTTCTATTAAAAGAACTAACAGTGTAAGTACTCCAATCAGCTCCTGAAGTTGAAGATAACAAAAGCTTCTTCTTGTAGTGATAATCTGATTGTACCATCATAACCAGAATTGGCACTGCTTGGAACTTCAAAGTGCTCTTCTTAATGTTACTCCGAAACAAAACTCTCGTGAAGAATCTGTACTAAATAGGTAGGGCCATCTTGTTGCACTTCAAGCCCATCAACAGCTGCAGAAATGTTTATTTCATTCTTTCCATCTAGCATGTAATAATAGTCCACTTCAAAGAAAGCCCACTAATTGATGATCACCAGCTTTATTATTAAGGCGAAATCGACCATGAACCACATTCATCAGTTAGGTAGCTTAGTTAGCTAGAATGGAGACTCAATAAGAGTAGAAGCAGAGAAATTTCTTACAATATGCTGTAGAGTCAAGAAAGAAACTCCTAAGACTAGTTCAATTCCATTGAGTGTAAATGCAAGTTTATCTCTCATCAACTAGACTCTTTGTTTGAAATTGAAGTTTCTCTCATCAACTAGACTCTTCGTATGAAATTGAAGTTTCCTTTTCGATTTCACACTAAAATGGAAATTCGAGGTGTATTACTCTTCAAGTGAATGATTTATGCTCTATTTGCTAGTATTTAGATTTTTTTCCTAAAGTGCATTTGTTTTAAGCTTTACTCTTTTATGAGAAGCACTAGTGTTTATACAACTCTTCAAGCCAAATTGAAGTCGTCCACTTTGGTGTAGACCGAAATAGAATTCAATCTATGTTTGAAACTATTTTCTCATTGACGAGACTCTTCAAATAAATGATTTTTGCTCTGTAGTGCTACTAGTTAAGATTTTTTTCAATAAAGAGCTTTCCTTGTAGGCTATTCTTTATTATGAGAATCACTAGTGTGACTAAGAGCTGCTTAGTATATCTCATCTTCTTAAGCCTTTTGATAACTGTAGAACTTCATTCTATAACATTTGAGTCCATAAGTGTTATTTTATAAAGGCAAAATGTATGATATGGTCAAGTGGAAGTTGCAACCGCAATAGCAAAATCATGTCATTTTCTAGCAGGTCATACCTCCAACTGTCCCAATTTGTCGAGCAGTCGCATCTGCTTCCGCTTTAGCTGCAGTAGATGACTATGCAATGCTACAAATTCATTCCTCATAATCTGCTCGCTGTCCCGAATCACAACCTCACTTACACCATCCTCCAAGAGTCGTTGCCTCAACTTTTCAGTTGATACAACCACATTCTCATTCATTTGAGTCTCAAGAACAGGATCGCTTGTTGGAAACATCTTCTTGGCCGCAACCAATGCCTCCAACCAAGTATGTCGATCCTCCCTTGTTTCTGCCTTCAAATGCAGCCTCTTTGTGCCAGTATTTATAGAAAACCTTCGGTCATCTGATCGACTTTCCCTTACTGATGAGACCTATAAAAACACTAACCGGTTAGTAGAATATCCAACTCCGAAATCAAAGCAATTGGACAAACAAAACAAACATCCATGTTACAAGTTGATCTTCTATATGGCACACTAACAAAAATACAGAAACAGCACAGCTTCTACAAATAGGAATTCCGCTATTAACCACTAGGGCACATTTGATACGTGCGCCCAAAATGTACTCCCTTTGTCTCAATTTATATGACACTTTTATTTTTGACGTTCCCTAAGATAAATTTTCTAAAATTCAAACCCTTTCAACTATTTAACTTTAAACAGTAATGTGAAGATTCTACCAATACACTACTTAATTAAGTGACTCCCTTTGTTCAACTTAGTTCTCTAGTTTGATCTGGAAACAAATTATTAAGGTAACAGTTGAAAATTTACTTATGTTGGATAAAAATGACTCTACACCTGAAGATAAATTTGACTTTTTAAGAAAAATTTGAACATTGTGTCGAAGGTAGTAGGTGCCAAAATATCCTTTGAAAGTTAAAACATAAAGAATATGGATAAATGTAGAGGAAAACAGGAAGTTGAACAGCTAATTTTTGCCACAAAGACATTTTAATTAACCATTTTCCTTGTCCTTCCTAACATATAATTTAACTCAAAACCTTTTTTTTGATAACGGAGAAATCTCCGAGGGCCAATGTATCTAGGTTCGTAACTCAGTAAATTCTGAGCTCGTCACTCTACCCATCTTCACCTAAATACCAAGCTTTTGTGTGACGCAAAGTTCAAACTCGTGACGTCCGTCTAACCCATACATTATGCACGACGCTCTTACCACTTGACCAAAGCCTCGAGGGCAAAATTTAACTCAAAATGTCCTCATAAACTATCATTATTATTCTAACAACATCAGATTAAATAAGATAAACATAGTAATAACTTATATGATTTAATTACAACTTAAATATTTCTCCAAAAAAGCATCATATCAAGGAAATATAATTAAATACCTTGAGGTGGATTTCTCCAAACGGTTTTCGCCGGTGAGATCGTGAAGAGCTGCTCATCGGCGAAGTATTTATCCTCCGAAATGACTTTTGCCCAACGATCATCGATCCTTTTTCCGTTTCTAAATTCGTCACAATCTTATGCCGTCCATGAATTTTGTAATACGAAAGAACGCCGTCGTGTAAAACAAACCACCGCGGCCTCCATCCTCTTCCGTAATTCACCCATTTATATAAAATTCCCGAAATGCCATTGCCTACATTGATATCATTCATCCTCGCCGAATGAAATTCCGACGACGTCGTGCTGGACGGGCGGAGTTGATCGCCGGAGAATTCGGTTTCACCGTTATTGAAAGGAGGTGATCGCGGCGGTTGCATATCGAGGAATTTGGCTAGTGGTATATTATTTGAGGGAGAGGATGTAGTCGCCGGCATTGCTGCCGCCGTGTTCTGATCAGCTACGTCGGTGTTACAACAAAGAGAATGCATTTTTTTTGCTTTTGAGATTATTATTGAATTTTTTTTCACTGTAATTCTTCCTAAGGAGAAAATTGTGGATTTATCTGAATTTGTTGAAGTGTCGGTTTTTCCCGCGAAAATCGGAGCTTTGAAATATAATTTGGATATATTCAAAGATAATTACTCTCATCATTTTCGTAATACAAAAAAAATATTATTATTGCTCCTAAAAAGGCACGAAAATGTGTGTATGAATGGGGATAAAGGGGGAGAAGACGGCGGCAGTGACGGCGGCGAAAGAGGAGAATGATTAACGGAGATACGGCGGCTGAGATTTGTAAAGATTAAGGAAAGGGAATTATTTTTTTCCTTTTTTTCTTTTGGGAAAGGGAATTTTTCAAAACACGGTTTAGTTAGTTGAAGTCACGGAGGAAATCTATGTGGGCCAAATTGGGATGTACGTGCTATCCCCCTAGCTCAAGTTACACATATGACCATTCAATCAAATATAATTATATTCGTTAGTCAAATATATAAAATATATGTATATTATAGTTATATTATACATTAATATTTAAAAAATATATATTTTGCCAGCTATTATATTTTAAAGCGGCTATATTATATAATTTTTCCTTTTTTTTCTCTTTTTTTTTTTTATATTCATATCTGTATGATTAATCTCTAGGTCTGAAGTCAAGACCTTAATTAAGAATGGAGACAATAGTGTAGTTGAGAATCCTAAAATTGAATTCAAATAATGCAAATATGCTAATACCAATAATATGGGGATTCAATAGTTTAGTTTTATAAGAAATTATTTTCATCTACTTGCACAATCTAATTTTCAAATGAAGGGATTCAATTGAACCCCCTTTTACCTTTTATACTACCACGAAATGAAGGGATCTCATTCATTGCATCAAACTCCGAGCAGAAATGGAGCTAGAATTTGAAGTTACTTGATTCAAATTTCTAGTTCGTTTAAGTTATTGGATTTTAAATTAAGAATTTGTACATTTCAACAGATTTCTTAAGATACATTTAAAGTTTGGAGCAAGTTACTAGGTTTGGCTGAGCCGGAAAATTTTATTTTGTGTCTCATACAACTGATACTAGTTGTATGAGGCATTTTTTTTGTCTCACATATTTGTGGACCTAGATTTTGTGGACCCAGAAGTGTAAGATTGGTGTCCACAAATTTGTGAGAGAAAAAGGAGTCTCACACAACTAATGTTAGTTGTGTGAGGCACATAATAAAACTTCTCGGCTGAGCCTGTAACATGTACATTGGCTCCACCCTAACTTAGTGGGTGGTCCATCCTTGCCCTTCTACTTTAGTATAGATGTGTTGCAAAACGAAAATAAGATGCATGTTGAGGTATGAAAGTAGTATATTTCCAATTTTGTATTTTGTGAACAATATTTATGTTACATAAAATAGTGATGTTATGAAAATATTTATGAAGCATTTTCTGTAAGGAAAATGTCTTCCCGATTGATCGAAAAAGGAGGTGACAAAATGTTGAATATATCAAAAATTGACTACCGATTAAATAATATATATATCCACTTGCAAAAGGCACATCATCAAGAAACATGAATAAGCAACCTAACAAAGAAAAGTGTTACTAAATTAAGGAAAAAAGAACCTCATACTTAGTGCACAATATAAATAATAAATTAAGAATTTTTTTTTTTGGTTTCCCACCGGAGTCCGGTACCCGCATTGGAGCCCGACTATATCCGGATTCGCGCCGCATAGGACCCCATTCGGGGGGAAGCGCTCGGATTCACTGATTGTACACTGTTAGCATATATTATATATTGGTTTTACATATATATATATATATATATATATTATACATTGATATTTTTAATTCGAAAAAGGGTTAAAAATGCCCCTAAACTATTGAAAAAGATTTAAAAACACCATTCATCCACCTAATGGACTAAAAATACCTCTCCATCCACCTTTTTAGTTTACTTATGCCCTTTGACTGTTAGGTCAATGCTGAATTAAAAATAATAATTATTTAAATTCCACGTGGCAACTTCTTATTGGTCAAATTAAAACATCTAACCTATTAGAAAGACCCACATATATCCACCCGTTTTTCGGACTAACCCGCCCCAAACACTAACTTGATCCGAATAAAAAGTTCAACTAAAAAAAGAACGATGCCCCACTTCCATCTAACTCCGGGTTAACTGATCCAAAAAGCACATTAGGAAACCAGGAGATCAAGATTATGCTTCACTAATGAACTTTCTTGACCAATCTGGGAAACTACAAGAGACAGAGAAAATCGTTGAATAAATGCCAACGCAACAAACAAAATTAGCACTGAATTGGAGAAAACAAAATTTTCAGCTTATGTGGGATATAAGGCTTATTAGTTACGATCTGTTAGCCCAGATGTAATGCAACTGCTAATAAATATCAAGAAGCTACCAAACCTAGGAAAATGCTTACTCACCAAAATGTTGAGGTAAAAATATTTCACACAGATGTAATGCTACTGCTTATAGTTGTTGGAAGTTCACACTAGCACAACTGATGAAAATTGTGACTCCTATTATATCATTTCTTTCAAGTTTTAGTGGCATAAAGGTGGACAAACCTAAGATAAGCATGGTGAAAATAGCAAGGGTTATTGTTGTCGTCCTTCCATCTAACTCTGAGTTAGATGTTAGATGGAAGTCTGGCGTCTTTTTTTTAGTTGAACTTTTTATTCGGATCGGGTTAGTGTTTGGGGTGAGTTAGTCCGAAAACGGGTAAATATGGGTCAGTCTTTCTAATATGTTAGATGTTTTAGAATTTAAATAATTATTATTTTTAGTTCAGCATTGACATAACGGTCAAAAGGGCATAAGTGAACCAAAAAGGTGGATGGAGGAGTATTTTAGCCCAATAGGTAGATGGAGGGTATTTTAAAACCTTTTCTAATAGTTTAGGGGCGTTTTTAACCCTTTTCCGTTTTTAATTTAAGTAATTAGGTGGACGACTATTTAGGTTAATTTTTTTGTAAAATTAAATAAAGCAAATCTTATCTCATTATAATAGCCCGGGACGGCTGGAGAGCTAGGCAAATAAGGGGGCATTTGCATCTATACCCGCTTTTTGGGTCACGTTTTAACTTGTACCCGCTTTGCAAAAAGAATTGCAAGCGTACCCACTTTTTCGCGTAGCTTCAGCATACGGGCCTGAAGTAGCAAAGGCAATCACGCAAACTTCAGCATTCTAGTAGACGGGCCTGAATAAGCAAAAATTGCTGAACCAAGTGTGCTGAAGTTTTTGTTTGTAATTGCTGAACTTAAGCATTCTAGTTCTGAAGTTTTGTTCTCTATTTGCTGAAGTTTTTATTTGTAATTGCTGAACTTAAGTCAAAACTTCAGCACTAAATAAGCTGAAGTTTTTTTTGTCCTGGATTCATTAGTTTTGTCATAAAGCTTTTTCAAAAACTTTAGCAGAAGATGCTGAAGTTATTTAGTTCATTTGTAAAAACTTCAGCACTAAATAAGCTGAAGTTTTTTTGTCCTGGATTCATTAGTTTTGTCATAAAGCTTTTTCAAAAACTTCAGCAGAAGATGATGAAGTTATTTAGTTCATTTGTAAAAACTTCAGCACTAAATAAGCTGAAGTTTTTTTTGTCCTGGATTCATTAGTTTTGTCATAAAGCTTTTTCAAAAACTTCAGCAGAAGATGCTGAAGTTATTTAGTTCATTTGTAAAAACTTCAGCACTAAATAAGCTGAAGTTTTTTTGTCCTGGATTCATTAGTTTTGTCATAAAGCTTTTTCAAAAACTTCAGCAGAAGATGCTGAAGTTATTTAGTTCATTTGTAAAAACTTCAGCACTAAATAAGCTGAAGTTTTTTTGTCCTGGATTCATTAGTTTTGTCATAAAGCTTTTTCAAAAACTTCAGCAGAAGATGCTGAAGTTATTTAGTTCATTTGTAAAAACTTCAGCACTATATAAGCTGAAGTTTTTGAAAAAGCTTTCTAACATACTAGATAAATAATTACCTTATCCTTTCATAGTGTATTACTACTATAAAATAATCAGATTGCCAACAGTATCTAAATCATAAATTTTGGAAACAATAAATGTGAAAAGAACAGAATTATCATGAAAAGAATCACTAAGTGTGACCTTAAACTTCCCGTTCGTGGAAATATTCACAAATTATTGTCTACTAACTTACATAATTATTTATAATTTATTTTTAAATAATCTGATAAACATACTTATGGCAATCATCCCATGAACTGAAGTTTCATAGCAGCACCAACAGCAGCAGAAGAAAGAAGAAGAAGAAGAAGAAGAAGAAGAAGAAGAAGAAGAAAACGAAGGAGGAGAAGAAAGAGGGCTGAAGTTGTTTAAAAAGTGGGTACAAGTTAAAATTTTTAAAAAAAAAATGGGTATAGGTTAAATGGGGGCGACCAAATAGGTCGCCCCGTGCAATTTTTACGCAAATAAGGCATACGCCTTAGGCTCCTAATTTCGAAGGACCCAATTTTAAAAGGAATATGTTATGTGTTAAATTTTCTTTTAAAAAGTTTAAGCATTTTATAGTAAAAACTTATCATTGTGAAGTTAATGTGACTGTTGAGAGATGGAAAAGTCCTCCCGAATAAAGTAAACATATCTTTATGATTTCCTTAAGCTTGATTTAACCTTCATTTTGTATTATTTTTACATTCTGACCACTAATGCATAATAGTCACTCTAATATAGGTGACTTAGACTTGTATTTCGAATTAAAAGTGTTAAGAAAAGTCAGGCGCGGCCTGATGAATTTTGTGGCCTAAAACCAAACTTTATGAGGGGCCTTAACTTTTTTATTTAAAAAAATATTTTATTTTTATTAAAGCCTATTTTTCTAGCTTTTTTAGGTGCAAATTATTAATATTTTTTTATAATCAATTTCTCCAAAAAATTCTTTCGCAATTGATAATATAGCTAATTCATTTAATCTGTCTCGAGACGTTGTTGATCTTAGGTAAGATTTTATCAATTTTAATTTTGAAACACTTCCTTTTGCTCAAACAGCGGTAATAAGCTTTACTAACAATATTTTATAAGTAATATAGGGATTTGGAAAAGAATCAAATCATTTTATTTGATTGAGTATATCAATTAAACTATTATCTTCTAATTGTATTTTTCTTAACACTTTTAATTCGGAAAATAAATCTAAACTGTCAATATCTGTAACGACCCGGCCGGTCGTTTCATGAGTTACCGCTCCGTTTCCCCCATTTCTGCTTCTTATTGTCTTGTTCAGCTGTATTATGTGTTATCAGGTTGGTTGGCTCGGGTTCGGAGAGGTTTTGGTAAGGTT